CAGTGTTAAGATGCAATAAGCAAAATATGTCAGACCTTGCATTGTAAGTATTTGTAGAAACTTGTCCATTGGCAAATAATGATGATGCATAAATTAAAAAAAAAAAAATCTCTGAACTCAGCATGTGGAATGAGAGCAGGTTTTCAGGGCCTAAACTTTGGTTTTGTGTCTTTGCACTTGAAGTCATAGTAAAACAACTATTGTCCTTACAGTGTCAATGAATGTGGGAATATTTGGAGATGATGACAGAAGTGGTAGGGAAAACATACAAGGCACGTTTTTCTTCATCTCTCTCATTTACTTTCTTAACTGTAGTACAAAACGGTGTCTGAAGGATTAACTTGACATAGTTGGCTTTGACCGAAGCTAGAAATAAACATGTTCTGTGAATGTCTTTGAATCACAGAATCACAGAATGGTTAAGGTTGGAAGGGACCTCTAGAGAGCATCTAGTTCAACCTTCCTGCTTGAGCAGGGACACCCAGAGAATGTTCCAATATCTTTGGAAAAAATCTCATTTTTTGATCTTATCCTTCATAAGTGATTGCCMTTAGGTCTGTATCTTGAGCCTAACAATGTTTTCAGCATTTCCTATTTGATCATCATTATGAATTTATTCATTCAGATGAATTCTTTGGGGAAAAAAAAAAAAAAAAAAGAATGTAACTTCTAGAAAAGAAAAATTGGTCAGAAAGTTCTGTATAATTTCTGGCAATTTGTCAAGCAGCTGCTGTTGTCCATATGTGAAACACTTTCTTCCCCAACCTCACATTCTTTCCTGTCAGGAGCTTCTTCAAATTGCTGATAGGCCACTATTCTCTTCCTCTGCCCATTGTGCTTTTTTTTCCTCCTCCTCCTTTTTAATGTTTTCTCTCCTGTCATACCCCGCTATTCAGGTTAACCTTGGAGATGAGGAATATGCTTGAGAGGAACTATTTTTGTTTCACAGAGAGTCAGATTTTKCTTTGTTATTGTTGTGATCCCTCATTCTCTTCAGTCTCTTCGGTCTTCCATGGGAATTTCAGATTAAAAATGTCATAGCTCTTAAATTTTCTRTTAAAGTACTTTTAAATTGATTTTGTCCATTACTGGTCTTTGAGGGTTAAAATAATTTTCTGAACGGGTTATTTTAGTAAAAGGGCTAAAAATAACCCCCCCAAAACTTAGAATAAAAATACCCCAAAGGCAGGACTAGGAGATAAATTGGAATCAAATTAAAAGTAGTTTTGTACTGACTAGAAAGCATTTGATTCCCTACTGGCCAGCAGCATACAAAGCACTTCTCTGCAGCTCTAGGAGCGCCGAAAGCAGCGGGCTTTGCAATTATCAGTGTTATACATATTAAAGYCATTTTAAATATGTTTGCTTGCTTGACTATATGCAAGTTTTAGGGTTTTTTTTCAACTGTAAACTAAAATAAAGGAGGGTGATTATATTTCTYATGTACAGAAGAGAAGATCAAATGGCTAAAAATGGTTTTGACATTCCCATGAGATTAGCTAACTAACAAAGTCTTGCTATTGCTGTCTTCCTATGAAGTCGTACATTGCAAATTAAAAAGAAAAAAATCTCATCAAAATGCATTTTTTATGGTAATCASCCTTTTCCCTCTAAGCATGTTTCTGACTAAACACTGAGCATTATATTTGCACCATACATATATACAAATGTGTTACTAAAATATCTGTATCATGCAGTCACATATCCCACAATTACCTGCTTGCTATCACTGTGTGACCTTTTTTTTTTTGTTGTGGCTTATAATAACTTGGACTTTAAATTTGTGTTTCAGGATGTTCTTTCCCCAAACAAGCTAGGTGGTGCTGGTAACCTGTCTCCCTTCTGCTTTGTCTTTTCCTCCTCTGGAATAGAGGCAGAAGTGACTGGATTGGTGCAAGGAGTCTGATTTGCCCAAGACTGCTTGGAGTCAATGGGGCAAAGAGGCTGCGTCATGTGGGAGATACAAATCAGAGAAGCTGAGGAGGTCAAAGAAAAGAATTAGCAGGACTAGGGATTTGCTGTTGTTGTTATTTGGGTTTTGTTTRTTTTTAGGAACCAGAGACCAGGCATAGATATTCTGGAAGCAGAGACTAAGATTACTTTAAAGTAGCCAGGCATGGCAAGTAGGAGGAATCCAAGGAGGTGGAAGATAAGAACAAAGAACTGAACACTTCATAGAAAAATGGAGATGGAGACTTGAATGAAGCGTGTACAAACTTGCATTATATCCATACTGCATGATGCAATGCTGTCTTGACACGCATGCTGCTTCAGGGACTAAAAGCTAAGCTCAGTTTTGTTGTTATGAAGAGCGGTGTTCTTCAAGAAAGAACTCCACGCTAATGCAGTTGGATACTACCTCTAAAAAGTAGCTTAAGTGTTCAGAATAGACCATTTTAGGAATAGTAGCCTAACACTTCATTGAGAAGAACACAGAGAAGTAGAGGCACTGAGAATTTCAGTAAGATACTTAAATCTGTGATAAGTGACCAAAATGACTATTAAGGCACTGGGAATGGCACAGTTGGGAAAGAGCAGCTGTGTGAGATTGATGCAGGGAAGAGTGTGYCACACTGTGTGGCCAGAAGGAATGAGGCTAGAGGCAAGCCAGCAAAAGCTGGGATGGGATAAGAACACRGTTAAAGACTGGGGGTTTAGGAAACATCACATTCATGAGGAAGAAAATAATTTAAAATGAAAATTGTGTGTTACATACTCCTTTCTGGGGCTTTCTGTCTTTAACAATCCATTTGCTTTGCTGCCAGCATAAAATCTGTGAAACTCTCTAGCAGTTTGTGCCCTCTCATTTTTTAATACTAGTTGCAATGGATAAAATCAACTAGCTGCTCTTTTCAGCTTTGATACATTAGCTATAGGGGTTTCATTTTACATGACAGACTTAAAAATTCTGGAACTACTGGTGGCCTTGTGAAAGTCCATGGGATGTCATGCAGTGGGTTTTATAGCTTCTAGAAAACTGGATGCCCAAGTAAAGATATATACAAAAAGAATCATGTTAGAATTTTAATTGACCCTTTGTGTGTATTCTGAAATAACATCTTAATTTCCTAATGTGCTATTCTGAGATACTGATCATTATAGTATTTGAGTGCTTTGCAAAAACAGAGTAACTTACTGTTTCAATACACCTCTAGAGCAATTGAGACTGATACCTGTTCTGTTGTAGGCAGTGAGATTCACGAGGCTAAAGCTATGTGTTTGCTCATTATGTATGCTCAATTTGGGACTTAACTGTTCAAGTGCTGGGGTTTAGTACAGTGTACGTTTTGTTATATACTTATTGAGTTTTTGAAATTTGAATTTAGCAATCTAGAAAATAAGGTACACATAATTACTTCAAGCAATCTAGAAAATAAGACACTCATAATTACTTCAAAATGTTATATTAAAACCTGTTACTGCTAACCAAAGTAATATAATCACATAAGTAAAGGTCTCTTCCCAAGGCTAACTTGCTTTGCTCCTTTGCTTTATGTGGAGTATATATATGTACACCTTAAACCATCACATGGGAATTCTGTGGCAGAAATCCTGCCACGGTGAATATGTGAGTGCGGGGTAAAGAAAGGAACAAGACAAGATGGAACAAAAACCTGAACTCTGGCATCTTTTTAACACTTGTGACTTTAAGTTCAAAAGCAGTATAGTGTAAGTATAATGCAGTGTAGTTGTCTATGTCTTGTTATGTACATTATTATGGAATGTATTGCCTTGTAAAGAAAAGAGGGAGAATTCTGTCCCTTTTGAACCTATTGCCAAAATGTAACGGGGTTTCCTTATGCAGTACTGAGTTTTAGGTAGCCTAACAGAGTTTCTGTCAGTTATTACAAGCTGACCTTTTTGTTTTGTGAAACCAGCCTATTAAGGAAGGAATCATCTTTGCAGCTGTTTGTTTTCTTTTTAAATGAGAAGCAATGAAAAGAAGCAAAGGCTGTGCCGTGTTGTTGCCCACTGACAGCATTTCCTGAGCAAGTTTGGAAAATTGAGACAAAAGTCAATTGGAAGGTTATCTACCTGAAACTAATACCCTGTGCCCAGCACAGTCTGTATTCATGCTAGAAAATAGAGCTGAAGTGATTTTACAGATATAGAGGGGTGTTCTTCTGTGAATTGGCAGAGAACAGGCGTCTATTCTCATTCTCCGCTAGACCTTGGTGGCTGTTTTGTCTGGGAGAGGTATCTYGCATGCAGACTGCTGCAGTGAAAAAGGATCAAATCCCTTGCATAGGGAGCTCCAAGCTGGACRGGATAATGAAGTGTGTTTCCCTCTTACACAGGCTGCTGTGTTTTCACAGTTCTCTGCATTAACCTTCCACAGAAGACTGGATCAGGTTGAAGGTTTCTAACCATTAGGTTTGAGGTGTTCATTACTTGGGTTCGTACCATCGGTAGCTAAAGCTCTGGTATTAACAACTCTGATTGACAGTTCCCCTTCTCAATGTTACTTTCTGCAGTAATTGCACAAGAGAGAATCKGAGCTCTCTTAGGGACTGCTTTAGGCCAGCTGGATACCTGCTACAGAAATTGAAGACCATACCTCTCAATGAGGAGAGCCCTTCTTTGATCTTGATTTTTCACTAGCAGAAGAATGGTTTCACGTATGCATATATAAAAGAAAGCATTCCCCTACATGCATTTCTCCCACTTAGAGGGAGTTTGAAAGGATAAACGTGCATAATGTTGGAGAYGTTGTTTAATGAGTTTCTGGTGGGTGGACAGATGTAGTGATGTTGARCTCATTTTGCATATTTTGAGATAAGCAGTATTTAATTCTAGAATAAACATGTTCCTTGAGAAGCATTTTTTTGTGTGTGTGTAATGGAAACATTCCAGAATTCTCTTCCACACTAATGAAGATAAGTTGCTATGTTTCATCAGAGGGTGTTGTTAGGATACTGCTAAATGTATTATAGCATTATATTAATAGAAATGTGTGTGTTTGTATTATATATATTATATAGAATATTTTTGTCTTGCAGGGGTTGATAAGTTCATCCGTCATTTACACAAACACAGGATACCCATTGCTGTTGCCACTAGCTCAGCTGAAGTGACATTTCAGATGAAAACATCCAGACACAAAGACTTCTTTGGTCTTTTTCATCATATTGTGTTGGGAGATGACCCTGAGGTGAAGCATGGCAAGCCGCAGCCTGATTCATTTCTAGTTTGTGCAAAGAGATTTGATCCCCCTGCACCTCCAGAAAAGGTAAGGAGGGAACAAATTAGCTAAAAAGCTATCAAAGAACTGTCCAGGCTACATTTAAAAAGTCATCAACTTCTTTTCAAAAATGTTTATATTGCTGAAGCAAGAGATCCTCAAAAGTGTGATTTTTTTCTTTCACTATAATGACTAAAAGTGTAAATGATTTAAAATCAGTTTGACAAATCTTTCTGAAACAAGAAAGGTATTTTCATTCGCTATCAGATATACAACTTGCAAAACTTGATTTTAGAATGGAAGTTTGTAGACAGACTACTTGAAAAATATATTAACAGCTGAAGTAATTTGTTCACATCTATGTAACTTGCCTTTTTCCTTAGAATATGTATTTTTTTTTTCCCTTGTCTCTCCTGTGTGAATCAGAAGTTCTTAAGTTTTGGAGTTTCAGTATTGCATAAATCACATTGCTTTAAACTCAGCTTTAAGTGGATTAGATTACAATTATTATTTCCTTAATAGGGCAGTCGAGAAAAAATAGGTTTACAAATATACCTGGAATCATTAGCTAAGATCTTTCAGGATTTCATGCTATTTCAAGTTCTGATCCTGAATCTGTGTGGTRTTTTTGTGGGCTAGGAATATGAAGTAATACAAGATGGATGCAGACTAAAATACTGTGACATACATTGTTAGCCAAACTACCATTTCTTGGTTGTCCACTTGTCATTCTTTTTGAATGCATCAACTTTGTTTGGAAACTTGGCTATCCAAGGTGAACAGTGAAATAAAGAAGARTATTTTGCTTGTTTATCATGTAAAATTTGTCTAGAGAAAAAGAATGAATATGTATAAATGTGCATAAATAGATTATATTAAATCTGTGTTATGATTTGTTGTAACTCTTAAGAAATTATRAAAGCATGCTGTCGCATTTCCTTGTCACCACTAGATATTCAGAAAAGGTATTCTAAATTTGCATCATCATATTCCTGCAGATGGCTGGTGTGTGCATGTGGTAGGTTCATGTGCAAGTAGGCTTCATATGACATGTTCCAATGTTGCAGCATCTGAGTAGCAAAACTGTAAATCTCAGCTTAGAGTCCACTGTTTATTAATTTTGACTATGCTAATTTTCAATTTAGAGCAAATATTGGGAGCAGTTTCAGGAGAGGGAGAATGGAGTTTTGTTCTGTTTGTTTTATTTGGTGTATGGTCATATCTAAAAAAGTCACAACAGTCACAGCATGGGGATTTAACACAAAGATGAAATTCCAAGAGCAGCTATCCAAGCACTACAGGCAAAACAACCTAAAACATTCATGACCAAACTGCATTTTAGTGATGGTGTGCACTGTGTTTACTCCCAAGTGGTAAACTAACAGAGCTACAGTTTGAGGCTTGATGCTGAAAATCAGTAACATACAAGTTTGCTGCAGTATGTCAGGATGTACAGGAAACCAAGTATTATCAAAGCATTTGGTATTCAGCCACATGTATCTATGCAGGATGTGATCTGGATGCCTTGCTTTCCATTAAACCTAGTCTGGTCCCTGCATTGCACRCAAGTGACTGAAAAGCTATATGAGGTTCCTTGGACCTCTGTGTCCCCTTTAGAGATGGAGATTGATGGATGTGCACCTGGAGAGGACTTCCAGTTTAGCTTCCTACAAAAGCAGTCAAGTGTGCCCCAGAACTGCTCAGTGAAACAAATCATTATCTATGAACTGAGGACTCCCAAGAGGTTTGCTTCAGAAGTTCACTACTGCACCAAACCCAAATATTATGTAGCCCTAGGAGGCCAAATCCAAAACTTGGCAAAAGCGTCATATCAGCCTCTTAATTCTTGCTGTAGAAGCACACATCTATAGGCAGGCAGTTCTAAAATCATATAACAGATATTATGTCTGTTCTAATTGTGCATTAGAGAGTTTCTTAAATGTTGATCCTTTAGATTTACAGTATCTGGTGAACCAGGAACTTAGTAAGCATAAAGGTGAGATTCATCACAGTGCAGGAATTTGAAATCCAGTATAATGTGAATCCACGATAAATCTTGCTATCTTTTGATCTGGGGAATTTCGTATGAACTTTCAGCAGCAATAATATATGCACTGTGATATGAGTAGCTAAATCGGTCAAGCAAACAACCAGCACTTCAAACACTAGGAATTTTGTCTTAGACTCAAATAATGTTAAAAATTTGGTAGGGAGTGTGTGCCAAGTTCTTCTCTCAAATTGCTTTTGCATATGCAAATGCAACTCATGTCAAAACCAGCTGGAGAAACAATTTGTGTTTGAATATTGTAAAGATATCGTGCCATAATGTTCAAAACATTGTGTTCTTTTTATGTGTTTTATTTTGGTAATTGAGGGGAAAAAATGTACAAAGAGTATTATTTTTGCATATGTTTTATTGTTTTCCTGCATTTACATGTTCGTAATTTGGAAAGTAAGTTCCAAATTTTTATAGGATTAGTTACTTAGTATTTTTTTTTTACAAACGGAATTTCTCTTTCCTGCTGGGAAATGGATCCTTTAAAATGTTCTGCAAAGATAGAATCAGAATTTAATTGATGACAATTCACAGCCAATGTCTGTGAAATTTGATAAATTCAGGCTAAACAAGGAAACAAAAATGCTTTTACCACATAGTATTTTTCTACTGGATTCTGAATTAAAGGAGATAAATGATTTTTAAACATGATAAATGATTTTTAAATTTTTTTGGAATTCCTATATATTTAAATATTACTCTTTGTTTTAATAAGTATGTTTTAAGAGTTTATAAAAAATGTTCTGTGCATGTACACATTTATTTAAAATATGTGTATCAACTGTGAATTTCTCAAAGCAGTCTCAAATCAATTTTGCTTCATAGGGACAAAAACATTATGTTGCTACAATACAAATTTATCCTAGAGGATTTCAGACATTTACATTCAGACATTTAAATACTTACTTCAAATATATTCAAATCAGTGTTATGTACGAGTGAGTTAAATAATTACCTTCATGAGGATCTGGAGGGTCAAGGCCTTTCTTTCCAGTATTTGAGGATGTTTTCCTATAAGTTTTCAGTAAAATGAAGGACCTGCCTACTGGTGTCCTTTAAAAACAAGCAAATGCCATTTATATCCATTGYGTAAAAGAAAACAAGGTTGCAGTAATGCAAATATTTGTAATTCTCTTATGAAGAATCAGTTTAATAAAATCAGTACAATCTATATAATCTCTATTATTATATAAACTAATCTATATAATTCATTGTAACTATTTTAAAAAAATCTCGTGATTTTAAATTATTGCTTTAAGACTTTTTCTTTGCAGTTTCATTCATTTCTAATTAATTAATGGACTTCATAGTTATGAATAATCTCTGTACCAAGKCTAGTGAGAATTCATTAAAAATTTTTGGACTGAATAAATGACATTAGGATTTATCAGTCTCAGTGGAGTTGAGAAAGAAAAAGAAATTCAAAGATAAAGGTTTTCGAGAATTTAGCTGCAAAAGATGYTGCAAAAAAAATAATAGAAATTCTGGACATTGACCGGAGGTAATATTAGCTTGTATTGTGTAAGGAAAACATAAGATGAAGGTGGATGATTTGGCACTTAACGTGAACATCATTATTGTGAGCATGTGTAGAACTAGTTGCCAAAAATGGATTTTTATTTCTAATCCTTCCTATGCATTTTTCTTTAAGTCCTTCTCCTCTCCCTCACAACTTCACCACTTTAGTATGTGCGACACATGAACTTACATGGTTTTCAGATAAGCAATTATTTTTAGAGGTGTTTCTGTTATGCATTATGTATACTTGGAGGTTGAATTTCTGGGAGTACTTTAGATGAGGTACAGAAATTACAAAGAAAAGAACCACAACTTTCAGTGGTGCACTGAGCTGTGAGTTGGAAGGCTTGTTGTCGGAATCATGTATTTTAGTCATCAAAAGTCTGTTCTGTTCCATTTGGTAAATAAATTGGCTTCTAGCCTTCCCCAAATGTTTACAGTCCACAAATTAAACATTTTATTACAGAAATAATAAAAGCATTATAAAAGAAGCATTAAATGGAAAAGCATATAGACATTTTTAAACTTGCATTTCAAACCTGTATCAATGGCCGTATTTAAAACCTTGTCAGTAGGCTATTGTCTGAATAGGCACACATTACTAATTTTTCCCTCCCTAAAATACTTTCTAAACAGATGCTCCTAGTATAAGCAATTTTGATGTGTCTGTGCTCTGCTGTTTTATCTCTTTGAACTCATCCCTTTTAACAGTCATTTTAGAATATCAGTAGATATTCATATTTGCAGTGGTATAGCCTTGATCACAGTTGTCATGTTACACTTGACTTCTAAAATGTTAGGCTGCACTCAGTGGCATAGAGAAAGCAGAGTTTGTATCTAAAAAAATAGATGGCTTTCCTCAACATGAGCTASTGAGGAATGTGCTACCATCTGCTTACTGAGTGGAGAGAGAGAAATATTCCACAAATCTGCCTAACTGCCAGTACGTTTTGTGGTAGCTTGCAGTGGCTTGGGCATGCTTCTTTGGGGAGAAAATAAAATAAATAAAATAAATACATAAAACCAACTTGACTTTCCTTTCTGTACTGATGTAACTGCAGTTCATGAATTGTTGGTGCTGAATCCTGCATCACTGTGATTTCAGTACATTCCGCGAATGCACAGAGCAGATAGGCTCTAGTTTATGATGTGTGGAAGAGTTCAGGGGTGGTTTTGTAGCTACTGTTGCTGTTTGGGGATTTTTTGTTTGTTCACTGTATTTGGCCGTTGTTTAATCACGACTTGAGTGTGTTTTTGGCCTCACTTATCTGTAAGGTTGCAGTTACACGTCAGTACTCCCCCTGCGTGCACCCCATGTGCTTCACAGTGACGGGCTCCCAGGCGGAGCGGAGGCGACTCCCTTGGCCGCGGCATGTGGCGGCAAGGAGGGCGCTCCTGGTGCCGGGGCAGAGCTGCGGAGCGGCTCACCCAGTGCTACAGATCCCTGTGTGGGAGCCGGTGCTGCCCCGGCGGC